GGACAAAATAGAAGTGCATATGAGCTCATGATACTGAAATTGCCAGTGTGCAGGAACCTTAGAAAAATGCAAGGGAGACAGGGTGGTACCTGGTAAGAAAGTTTGAGAATAATAAAAATAAACTAAGCTGTTGGAGAGTACTCACTCCATTCCAAACTAACTGTCATTTTTTTAACTTTTTCTCTAAATTGAGGATTTGGGACAATTCATGTATTTATCTATCTTACCCTAAAATTTTTTGAGATAGGATAATTTATCAAAATAAATAAATAATGATAGGGTTAAAGTAGAGAAAAAAAAAACATATTTATCTATCTTAAAAGCTGAAAAAACAGGAACAAACTAAAAGTCAAATAAGTGCAGTTATTTTGTAACGGATAGAGTATCTATTTAGAATTAGAACATGCCATAACCAAGAAAGCAACAGCCTAACCTTGCAGCATTTCATTTGCATGTTGATAATTGTGGATAAACTCCCGACCTTTGATTGAGAAGTCCAACCTTTCACTTCCAAGTTCCTTCTTTTTACCCATAATCAAAGGAAATGGTAATATCCATGAACGGTAAATGTAAAAGAATAAGCTGGTAGCTCATCTCCAGAATTTCCTCCTCCTAAACTCAGCAAACTTAAAGGTTCAAAGAACCCTTTCTTAACAAGTGGAGAAGGCCTTTTGCAGCATTGAAATGGGTATCTGCACATTGTCACCTTCCACCGTTAGCAAGCTGAATAACTAGCTCCTTGTCTCCAAATTTATTCAAGTTTTCAACAATTCTGTTGGTGTAAGGTGCTTTCAACTGGATTCCTTTTTCAACCATTAGCCTTGCAAGTTTTTCAGCTTCAACTGAATGGCCTTTCTGACAAAGTCCAACTAAAAGAATTGAGTAGATATCAGAGTCAATGGAAGATAGGAATCCCATCTTCTCAATTTCTTCATACAAGTAGAACCCATCTAGCACCCGACCTTCCAGACAGACCTCCTTAATCATGATACTACATGCCAAACTATCAGGTTTAATCCCACTCACAAGCATCTTCCGAAAGAGCTTCTCCGCTTCAATGAGCCTTTTATTTGCTATCAAAGATAACACAAGAGAACTATAGCAATCACCAGCTGAAACAGAACCAACAGCAACAAGCCGGTCAATCAACTTATAGGCCTCCTCAAAAAGTCCCTCAGCAGAGAGTCCCTTGATCAAAGTACCAACTGTTACGCGATTTGGAACACAGCCACATGCTTCCATTCTATCCAAAATCCCCAATGCCTCCATAGTTTTTCCTCTCTCACAAAACCTCTGTATCACAGATGTATATGTAATAACATTTGGACTACAGTTCCCACCTTCCTTCTCCATCTCCCCTAACAATTCCAATGCCCTTTCCACACTTCGAAACCTACAAACCCCCTCAAGAAGTGTTGAATAAGCCACTGCATTTGGCAAACACCCATGCTCCCTCATAACCTTAAACAACCTACAAGCATCCTCCAATCTACCCACAGTGCAAAACCCCTTTATCATAGACACAAATGTGATCATATCTGGAAAAAGATCAACCAGACCCATTTCCCCCATCAGCTTATCAGCCATGTCCATATCACCCTTCTCACAAAACAACCTAATAACCATATTATACGCAGTAGTATCAGCACGTATGTTGAATTCAGGCATTTTCCTCAATACCCACATCGCCTCATTAGCAAAGTTTGCTTCTTTACACAAATTCAGAACAACCTTAAATGTCTTAACACTAACCAAACACTTCTCCACCTTATAAGCCTCAATAACATCGAAAAGAACTCCTGGGTTTTGCTTAATCTTGAGCAATTCACAAGCTTTGCTATACATATAAGCACTATGCCTGTAATTTGATTGAATACCTGCCCATATAAAAAACCTAATCCCTAATAAAGACTGATTCTGGGAACACCTATGCAATACCTCACTGATACAAGTGGAGTCCAATTTGGCATTAACTGAGGCTAGGATTTTCTCCACGTTACCATGGTTTTCCTGCAGGCGAGCATAGAATTTCTCGGCAGCAGAAGCTGTGGTGGATCGCAGAGTTGAAAAGTACTTTGTTTTTGGGTAAATTGGCAGTGAAAAGAAGCGAGAAAGGGAAGAAAGCGACATTGAGAATTCAGCGTCTCGAAAGTGAAATTTTTTGTCAAACCCTAGTCGTAAACTGTTCAGATCGATGGCGAAAATATTACCTCGAAGTTGTAAGCCAAGATCGCAGAACGCTTTCGAGAGGAAGAGGGAACCGAATTAGCTGAGTTGCTTCCCGAGTGAACTCGATAGTAGAATGGGGCTAATTAGTAATTATGATTAAGCCTATAAACTTTCAAGGTTTTCCTAAACATCCCTAGAATTATTATTTGAATCAATTAAGTCCTGTATTCTAGCACAAGTTTCTTGAATCAATTAACTCCTTTCAATAAAATCCAAAAAAAAAAAAAATCCCTTTAATGAAAATGATATAGTTGGTATTGTAAGATTACAATAATGACTTGTTATTATAGGATTGAGTCTTTTTATTTAGAAGCTTGCCTATAATATTATATACATTTAGTTATTTAATGATTAATTATGATTGCAAACTTATAATTTTATATGGTAATATAACTATAGCATTGCAAGGCTTTTAAAAGACCAAAGACCCTTTCAAATAGTGTAGTACAAGCTTTTCTTTTACAATTATGATTTGAAGCAAGTGAATGTTTACTAATTCATATAATGTTTCTTAATAAAAAAAGAGTCAAGAGCAAAATGTCGTGTTAACTTTATTAATAATTGTTAAAAATATATTGTACATTTATCATTTGCATATATATTTATATATATATATATATATCATTCCATTAAAAATATACATTAGGTGTTATAATACTAAAAGATTCTAATATTTTGTAGTTTAGTGTAATTCAAATTGAAAAACACCTTTTTAATACAAAAATAAATAACATTATCCCATTCTAAAGGAAACTAAAGTATTCCATGAACCACAAAACCCATATTGCCACCACTAACATCCCTATCATCAAACAAAACTCCACTCAAGCTTCATCAAATTGGAAATTAAAAGTTCTATTTGCACTTTTCTATCTTCAGCCCTAAAAAGCTGACAGAATATGTTTGCTTGGAGTTGTTTTGTCATTGGTAGATATTCTTAGTTAGTCTTTGAGGGAAATCCTTTTGTCCCACTTCTTATATTAAAAATAAAATAAAATAAAAAACACAGTAAGCCCAATATTTGTTAGTGTTTTAAATAAAAGCTAAAGGGCAGAACATTCTATACTTCCCATTCAATATGATATGGAAAGATACAATGGGAACAATATATTCTTCAAAAATGATAAGCCTATAACTTTCTTGATCAAGAAAAATAATTTTTGGATTAGGATTGCAGCAATCTTAATATACAAAGATGCTGATGAAGTGATGATGGAGAAATCACTAGCTGCTTCTGCCTTCTACTTTTCTTTCACTTTCCATTTAAATTATGCAAGGATGTTTCTTTTGTAAATTAAAAGTACATCCAAGTCACTAATGCTGTGGATGAGCACATAGAGAAGGAAAGCATTCCCTTTCTTTTATTTTCCTAACTTGCAGACACTCTTCTTCCTTTTTCCTCTGTTTTTCTTTCTAATTTTTTGGGTTTTTATTGCCCCCACAAAAAAATGTAGCGTACGTAGACCAAAAGTAGAATCCTACTCACCTCCTCGCAACTTATATGCCCTTTTGCATCATCCCCAATTCCGCATTATGTCCCATACAGACACAGTCAGACAGATTCTCTCCCTCACCAGCAGAGAAGAAAGAGAGGAGGAGAAAATTTTTTGCTTTCCGTGTCATTTGTATGGACTAAATCACTTAAAAGTTTTGAACACAAGAAGATAAAATCTACTCTGGCTAAAAAGTATGGAGATCGGACAATATGCTCCAAGATAAAATGAGGTGAATAAAGAGAAGGCCATAAACCCCATAGGGAAAAATGAACTTTGTGATATTTAATTGGACTGATAGGGCAATAATACTAGACTACTTGAGCTATTAGAGGATCCAAACAATGTTCAAAGTCATTTCAAGTAAAAAGAGTTTAAGTTGGGAGGTAAGGAACAAACAAAGATTTATTATCTTTAGAGGTAACTCTATATAAGTTTTAGTTTAAGTCTCAAAAAATAATTTAAAAAAAAAGGTAAAAACACGAAAAATTTTGTCATATTTTGAATACAAGCCATACTTAAGCTTTAAAAGTTAGGAGTAACAAAAGTTTGAGAGAATAAAAAATGTGTTGAAATTAAAAATAAAAATAAAAGAAACTTTATTTTGAATAAGAGTGTTACCCTTAGACCTAAAAAATTTGAAAAAAAAAAAACCGAAGATAATAATAGGTCATCTCATAGATCATATTCTGTACTTTGATTATCTCTAACGTGTTGAAAGAGCATCATCCCTTTCAAGTGATATGCTAAGCTATCTAGAATCTTTGATTAAATGAAATTCCTTGAAGAATTTAAGATTATGGAAAGGAAAAGCGGATTAAGACAATTAGAGAAAAGAATAACCACACCACAGAATACAGGAATTCAGAAACAAATTAGAAAAATGGAGAAAATTAAGGGCACCCTTGTCATTTAATTTGTTAAGAATCAATTAAAGACCTCAAAACCTTGAAATTTTGCTCACTTCCTTCAAAACCCTTCTTCCCCTCTCTCTCTCTATTTCTTCCTCTGTTCTCCTGCTTCATATCCATATTCCATACTCAATTACAACCCCTAAACATCCATTTTTCTGTTTCTTTTTCCCTTCTTCAATGGAAGATGCAGACTTCTTCACCAAACAGCAAAACTTAGTCACAGAGAAAAACCACCCAAACCCAAGCAAGTGCTATACACATTTCCTTCAGAAAGCTCTCATTGTCACAATTTTCTTCGTTATACTCCCATTTTTTCCATCCCAAGCTCCCGAATTCATCAACCAAACCATACTAAACCGAAGCTGGGAGCTTCTTCACCTTCTTTTCGTCGGTATTGTCGTCTCCTACGGTCTGTTTAGCCGCCGGAACGATGAAACGGACAAGGAAAACCATAGCAATGTTTCGAAGTTTGATAATGCGCAATCCTATGTGTCTAGATTGCTCCACATCTCCTCTGTTTTTGATGATGATGCGCAGAACGTTTCTGGGTCCGACGAGTACAAGGTCGAAACTTGGAGTAACCGGTATTACCGGAACGAGCCACCGTTGGTTGTAGTGGCCGATCCCTCTGTTCATGTTGACAAACAGAGGAGTTTTGCTCCTTGGATTGGCGAAAAGCCCTTGCTTTTACCTGTGAGGAGCTTGAAGTCGCCTGTTTTGGACGCCAACGAAACAAGTAAGGAATCTATAAACCCTCGTTCTGTGAGTAGGTCTAATTCCAATTTGGGCTCGAAAAGGGTTTTGAATAAACGTAAAAATGGGGAATTGGGAAGATTGGATCATGGGAATTCGGAGGATAATGCGAATGAGGATGTTGTTCTTCCTTCTCCAATTCCATGGCGGTCAAGATCGGGGAGAATGGAAGCGAGAGAGGAAACGAGCAGTCTTCCTAAGTATACTCTGCCTTCTTCAATGGAGGAATCCAACTTCAACAGGGTTGAATCTTGTTCTTTCAGGTCCCGTTCATCTCTATCCAATTCCACCTCTTCTTCTCCGAAATTGTCCCCTTCCCCGTCGATATCCTCTCCGAACAAGTTATCTCCTTCGCCATCTTTATCAGCAGAATCACAAGCCAGAAGTACAGAGGATTTGCTGAAAATGAAGGGCTTTAACCGTTCTCCTCCACCACCGCCACCACTACCACCTTGGCCAATTGCCCACAAATTGTCATCAACGAAACCCATTTCTAGAAATGATGATGGGGTTTCCTCTGAGGAGAAATTGCATAGAAGCTTCAGAAGAGAACGAAGGAACTTGAAATCAGTGAGAAAAATCCAACGTTGTGATTCCATTGCCGGATCACAGAAAGTTAGAGAAACTGAGCAACTGAGCTCTGAAAGAGTCACTTTCATGCCAACACCAACATACATAGAATTCCCAAAGGAAGAGAAACAGGAATTCGTCCAAAAGGTACTGATGGTTGAAACAGAAACAGAAGACGATTCAGTGACTGAGGAGGAAGATGTTGCTGAAAAAGAAGGTTCTTTTGTTCCAAACCTCGGTTTGGTAAGTTCTGCAAGACAAGGGGAAGCTACTACTTCAAGCAGTGCCATGGATGCTGCTTCTGATGTGGATAAGAAGGCTGATGAGTTCATAGCCAAAATCAGAGAGCAAATCAGGCTTCAAAGAATTGATTCCATCAAGAGATCAAGTAGACAGGTTAGGAGAAATTTGTCAAGGTAGTGCCGAGTTGCGCGGGATGGATTTGTATTTGGTGTTCAAACCGTTCTTCTTTCCTTTTACCTTCTGGTTTTAGCTTTACTTCATAGTTCATAAGACAAAATCAAAGCTGTTTTTCTAAATCCAAGGTTCTTATACACAAAATTAAGTTGAACTTTAACCATTAAAGGTGATTGGTTAATAAAAATTAGCATGTTCGTCTTTTATGCATACTTCAATCCCTCCCCAAGAAACTTGTATTGATAAATAAGATTAAGAGTTCTTTCTTTTACAGTTCAAACTATACTAAACTATAAAATAAGAATCATTAAATGAGTTAAAAAGTTTTCAATATTATGAAATTCACTTCCATTCAATGATTAAAGTTGTGTGATCCGAACTATTTTGGACTACATAACATGTTTTTGTAAAATTAAATAGATCAAAGTTTTAGGTTCAACAAGTTTTGATGCAATTCTTGATGGGTCTAGCAGGCCAATTAGTTGATGCACCTAATGCCTTAACTGATACCAAGGTTCGAACCACGGAAATACCACGTAAATAACCCTTTTCCTCTACCCAAATTACAAGTGTTCAAAAACCAATTCCTGATGGTTGATTCAGTCAGGGGTTGCTTTTCCCATCTCTACTTTTCTGCTTCCCTGGTCCTGCACGCAAAATCTATTACCTAGTTTCAGACCTGAGCATGGGCCAGTCTCATAGTAGGGGCCCACTGAACTGGCCCATTGATTGAAAAGGAAGCCCCGATAGGTCCAAATTGATTGCAGTAGACCCAAATGGGCTTCCTTCTCATTTAAAGCAAATAACTTTTTCTGTTTGGTTTGGAACAGCTTTTATGAGATTTGGGAATGAATGTTTTTTTCTAGCTGCAGAGATACTAATGACATTTCTCTTTGCCTATTCGAAAAAAAGTGGATAGAATCAAGTTGCTCAAAGGATTTTCTCTCACATTTTAATTTATTGTGTTTTTTGATTTACAATCTGAATTACATTAAACCGTAAAAAATAAACTATTAAATAAGAAGACAACCTTTAATATCAATGAATGATCTCCTTATTTAATGATTTAAATTATACAATTCAAGCGATAATTTTTTTTTTTTGTACTTTATTTACAGGAACCCAATTGCTAGTGGCAGTTACCTAACACATTTATTACATGTTGCCCTAAAAATAGACCATGGTTTCAATAATGTTCAAAGTTCTTCTCAGGTGAAGACTACCCAACGTCCCATGTCCCCAAATGGTTCAGCACTCTATTGTCTTTTGTCATCACTCAACATGCTTTCTAGCACTATGAAGAAAGAACAAATCTATATAACAAGAAAAACTATTCATTTTTAATTTTATGACCCAATAGAGTCTCATAATCATATATTTCCTTGCCAATTAGTGATCATGACCTCTCTAATTGTTAGTAGCATTTTAAAATTTTAATATCTACCAACTAGCTATAATAGATAGCGTGAGGATTATACTCACTTAAACAATTTATTCTTGCTTAGATTTTTTTTTTTTTGTTTTATATAGGAAAAGAAAAGTGCATCTCTACTTAATTAGTCTTCCAAGGAATGATAAAATAGCCATTATATTTGTAAATTACATTACTCATTCTTCCTTCCTCAGGTTAATTACCTTTTCTTGACCCACAAATAGAGACACCCAACTTAATGGAATGAAAAACAAAATGATATGCCTGTAAGTTATAACCATGCTTAACATTGAGTCAACATACTTCTAGTATACAAAGGAAAATTTAGTGATAATTAAGAAATATCATTTGTAATCATAACATTATATATATAATATGTAAAAATTATAAATAAAAATTATATAAATATGTTGTTTGCATAACATATCACTCTTTGTTTTTTTTTTTTACAATAAAAAGTAACATTTATTAAAAAGCAAAGTACAAGAGGTACCCAAACCCATAAACATATTACTTTTTGTTAAAAAAAGCACAATAAAAAGGGGCTAAAATTAGAAACATAATCACCACTAAACTACTACTCTTGACCCCAATTTCCATTAATTAGAGAATCCCATCACCATAAACTATATAATCAACAAACCAAACCAAACCAAACCAAAAGAAAAAGGAACTTAAAATCAGGCAATTGGTCCCCACGCAATCCCAAACACTTTTTACGAACAAAAATACAAAAAAGAGAGGTTTCTTGTATGCATCGTGGCTCTTTTTTTAACATTTAATAGTAGTATACTACAAGAGATAAGGCACCCTCTTTCTTGAATCTATTCTTAAGTCTCAACCATTTTGAAGTTCATTTAAGACTTGTTATCTCCTTTCTTAAATCTATTCTCAACTATTTTAAGGTTCACCTAAGACTAAAGTCTAAAGTTTTTAACAAATTTTGTTTGATGAACTGAAAGAGTTGTATGCATAACCACTATAATTAAGAATGGGTGATACTATAAGGACAACCTTTTTGTTTAATCTTTTTATACAATATTCACATGTCATTAAATGAGTGGATGCATTCAATATCATGAGATTCATATAAATTAAAAGAACCAATCATTTTAATAATAATCAAATTAATCGAGTTATACAAAAAAATTAGACAAAACAATTCTCCCACTAGCATTTTCCAATTAAGAATAAAACACATATTTCAGTCA